CCGGCCCTGCCCTGCGAGGCAGCAACGCGGGGCTGTGGACAGCTGGTGGGCTGGCGGAGCTTCCCCCAGGCCCCGAGATGGTTTCTTTTAGGTTGCGATCTCCAAAAACTCTTCTAAACTCTTCTTGATGTGCGGGGGCTGGGAGGCGGCGTGAGTTAACAGACTCGGACCCATCTGTGCAAAAAGTGCTTTGGAGAGTTTGGCTGTGGCCGTGCGGATGTTTCCCCCGGCCCCGGGCAGGGAGCCGCTGTTTGTCGTGTTCCCCAGGAGGTGCCACAGGACAACGAGAACTTTCTGCTCCACGGCGTACGGCTTCCGTGGGTATAACTCCGTTACAAGATCTGCAGGGAAGACAACAGGCCATCAGACAGTGTCAGAGGTTATTTTTAAAACGCGACTGAGAAGCCATCCCCTGCTTTGGAGAGGTGTGTAAAATAATGTCAAATCACCTTCTCGAAGCAACCAAGTTAGGAACGCTTGCTAAGGCACAAGAGCTTGTCGCAACAGCATCGGCACTCCGATAAAAACCACTAGCTTTGCCTACAGACACCCCTCTTATCCTCTCTCAGGAGTTCACACAGTAGCCCTGGTACTGTTGATAATGACTATTCTCCATTAAAACACATAAGGACACAAAGGTTGAGTATTTTTAGTTAATACTATCACCTGAACCTTCATCTCTCACCGTGCACATCTGTATTTTATGATTTCCCCTCTATCTCAGAAATACGCAGTAGGTATTTAAGGAACAAAGTAGCCTTATACTATAAATACATACGATGAAACATTTTCCCTACTTCAACAATGACCTCATGAATTAAGTATTTCATTTGCAAACATTTCCCTTTTTGCTAGAACGGACTCTCCTGATATATAACACAACCTACTCCAAAAAAATCCCAGCAAGAGATGAACTGTTTAAAGGCTGGTGACTAACACGTTCAGAATGCATAAATTTTGGAATGTTTCAAGGACAGACTGTCCGTTATGTTACTCAGTCTCATTTCATAGCTACTACAGACAGAACTACTCTGAGAGTAAGCCAAGTAAGATCTGTTTGGTTCAAGCATATTTCCAATAAAGACATCCCTTGCTCACGTAAAACATCAAAGGAAAATCCAGCACTTCTAGCAATAATCCCCAATATTAAAATATGTATACAAATTCTAGTTAAACTTTGTCTTAAAATTTTAGGCAAATTTGTCTTTCAGCTTTTGACAGCAGTTTAGGCAGAAGACTGTTATGAAGTCTGCCATCTGCTCAGCCTGCCAGCTCGTCTCCTTTGCGACCGAGCAGCCTCAAAACCAAGAGCCTCAAAATGAGAATAAGACCAACTGCGAAAAAAATAAAGGTACAGAAGTAAAATTCAGGAGTTAGTCGGAGCCAGCCTTGGAGAACAGTCTATTTTCTGTGCTGGGAAACCTCAGCAAAAGCAGTCACTCGTTCTTTTTGTTTCTTCCTGGCAGGAGTACGAGGGAATGTGAGGTGAGGAGCGAAGCAGGCAGGCCTCTGCTCCTCAGCCAGTCCCACTGCGCTACCCAGAGACTGAAACTCACCACAAACCTCATTCTCTCCGATTCCATCCCAAAATTATTATAAGCTTAAGGCATTCATACATCTTCCAGGTATCCATGCATCTTCCAGGTATTTATACACCTTCCATCTGACTGTATATTAATAATCTTCTGCTCTGTCAGCAATAGCTTCAATTTGCATTACAAGGGGGTGAGATTTGACAACTGCTGCCTCCTTAACGCCCACAACCTCCTGTGACAAGGGAAGGTACACAGCCACCTCCACCCTACAAGGAATTTGCCTGATTAGGACAGTACACAAACAAACCAACACCCAAAGTAAAACACCACTTTACCGGCAAGCTTTTCTGTCATGTCTTGTTTTGCTTTTCCATTTAGAAACTGAGCTTTTGTGCAGAACGGCTGGAGGAGCAAATAGTTGTCTAAAGGCAAAGAACAAAACACAGTAAAATTCTTAAAGAGAAAATGAAACAGTCCGGAAACAAATACAATATGAAAAAACATTATGCCCCTGTGACAAGGGCAGCCAGCGGCACTCCTTTCTGGGACCAGCAAAATGTTAAGATGACTTTATTGGTTTTAAATTTATCTAAATTGGTTTAAAAAGTGAAACCAATAATTCGTTACAGTAGTAAACCCAATGATCTGTTACAGAACGTAATGACTGGATGCAATCTACTGGAAAGGGCAACTCTTTACACTTAGAATTTAGTTAATACTATTAAAACTCTAAAAGGGAGAAAATGACTGTGCTGGCTTTGTGGGGGGTGTTTTTGGTTTGGTTTGGAGCAGTGGCCCCTGTGAGAAGGACCCCCGGCTCCAAGTCAGACCCTCCTCTGGCCAAGGCCGAGCCCATTGGTGGCGGTGGCTGCACCCCTGTGATGAGGCGTTTGAGAAGGGGAACCCGGGAGAGGGCAGCGGGGGCTTCGAGGATCAGTTTGGCGAAGGACACCTCTCTGAGCACCGAGGGCAAGGGAAGGGGGAAGTGCTGGAGCAGAACCCCCCTGCACCCCGCGGGGAGGGCGCAGGGACCCCCTGCCCCCACGGGGGGCACCAGAGGAGCAGATTCCCCCGCGGGGGGCAGCACCCGGGTCTCTGTGGAGAGAAGCAGCCCCCGCTGTTGTCGCTCGGCGCTGGGAGGTGCAACGCGTGGGGGTGACCCACGCCGGGGCGTCTGGAGGAGAGCGTGGCCCCGCGGAGCTGGGGCGTGCCGGGAGACCCCCATGGCAGGAGGAAGGAGCAGCGGGACTGAGCGCAGCCCCACGCCCGGCCCCTGCGCGGGGAGGAGGTGGTGAGAGCGGGAACGAAAGTGAGCGGGGAAGGAGGGAGGGGTGCGGGGTTCTTCAGATGTGGGAACGCCTCTCACTGTCCCACTGCCCGTTACGTGCTGGGCTGGTTAGTGCTGGAATTAAAGTGCTGTTCTTTTTCTTCCTCTGAGAAGTCTGTCTCCTGCCCGTGACTGTAATGGGCGGGTCACCCCTCCCTGTCCTTATCGCGATTTGGTTTTGCTTCATTTTCTCCTTCCCAGTGCCGGGGGTAAGGGGTGAGGGAAGGGCTGCCTGGTGCTCAGTTGCCCTCTGGGCTCAAACCAGGACAATTACTTACCTAAGTGTTGACACAGAGCCTGAATGACATTGGTGGCAGCTGCATAAATCCCTGGGTTTTTGGAGTTCAGGTTGTTGTCCACCATGGCAGGAATTAACATGTTGATCACAGGGGACAAATTGTCTTTCAGCAACGGAATCATCTTGTGCATTGTCTCCAAAGCAACCTGATTTACTTTACTGTTCGAGTCATGCAAGCGAGACTTGAAAGCATCAAAGATCTGAAAAAGTATCCAAACAGCATTCACCAGAGTTAACCTCTGATGTGGACATCACGTTTCCTGCTTTACTGTTATGCTTCAATTGTCCATTTTAGCAAAAAGATGGCTCTGACATGCAAATACGAGCGATACTGTTCTAAGCAAGTAAAGCAACACTTGACATTTTTATACCGTGTCGTATTCAACTGTATCTCACCTCATCTGAATTGGAATCATTACTGTACAATGGACTGGAGGTAAACTAGCCATCTGTAACTTCGTTTTCTGCAAGCAAGTATTTTTAGCCAGACATAGCTCTATTTAGTTTTAAAGATTTCTAAAAGTTTCACAGTTAAGACATTGTGAAATTCCCCAGAAGTATTTCTTAGTTCCACAGCAAAGACACTGCACTGTTACAAGACACTCTTGCTTTTCCTTTCATTATATCTATCACTAGTTTACAAGTGTTGATTTTTCTCTTACAGAACCTCCTTTCTTAGTAGAAAGGATACTTACCTTAAACTTTATCACAGCGCAGACCTTTCCTCACCTTCTCCTAGGCAAACAAAGCAGGCAGAACTTGCAGCTGTGTTTCGGAGACAGTTTTTCAGATCTTGATTAAACCTTGCTGCTCTTTTAGTAACCTGTTCCAATATTTTGATATTTACTCAGCAATGGCATGAAAAACTACAGCCAGTATTCCAGAAACAGCTCAGAGTGCTAGCTCTAGGTGAAAATGTTCAGCTGCTTCCTCCTGTTTCCTTCCTTTGCTAGCCTGTAGCTTACGTATCTCTCACCTACTCAACATTCTCCGGTTCATCAGACATTCTTATTGAAAAAGGGAACCAAGATTTTTGTCGGAAAACTTTGAGACACGGCTTTAATGACCTTTGAAATGAAATGCTTTCATACAGTTACCTTCACGATGTTTGCAACAACAAAGCCTTGATTGTTCTCTGTATCTGATAACAGCTGCTTAATGCCGTTTATGCGATCACGGAAGTCCTTTCCATTCAACAGACCTATAATGTCTTTAACGTATTCTTCACTTTCTAGTGAATTACGAGGACCTGCTTTTCTTGTGACTTCACGGGCTTCTGTAGTCTCTCTATGGGAAAGGGAGAAGTTATTCAGTGAGCACAGCTGAAACAGGAGTCTTTCATCTCAGACACTCTCTTTCCATGTAAGCACAAATCTCAACAATAAGCAGAAAATCTAAGGAAGGACCTTCACTTTAAACACCATGATTTAAAAAAAATATATAAATCGCCGAACAGTAATTGTTGTTCCTGCAGTCTCAATATACACTCCACTCCAAATGCATATCTACCCACCACACAAGAGATAAGCCTCAAGCCGGCAGGACCCTGTGCCCTTCCATGCCAGAGCAGCTGGGGGGGGGACCAGTAACAGCTGTGAACTTCCCTCACATCAACGGGGAAAAAATAAAGTTACTGTAGTTTAATTCTTTATTCTTAAAGTACTTTAAACAGCGATCCCAGTCAAGGTGGCACCTAAGCAACATGCCATGCTGAGGAGGAAATTAAACTGCTCGGCATAGAGTATTTTGAAATAAATTTTCGCTAGCATGGGAAGCATTAGAAAATCTGTGGAGTCACTCCTCTGCCTGGGTAAGTATCCTGCACTTACAGACCAGTCCAGAGTCACTAGCTCATTCCTAACTCGTGAACAGAAGCCGTTGATGGCGAATGGAATAAGCACCTTTCTCTCATTTTCAAATTCAAACCTCTCAGCTCTGTGAGAACAAAAGGCACCAGCGAAACCTCCTGCCCTGCCAGTGCAGCGCAGGCTGCTGAAGGGACCCGAGTCAAAGGCGAGGGAGTGTCTGGCATAAGGCAGGAGGTCACCTCTTCTAAGGAAGCAGACACGTAGCTTTACATGCCAATGCAAAATTTACCATCACATGTGGGATTAGTTATTATTTTGAATAGCAGAGAGTTAAACCTGTTCTGAACAGACAAACTCCTCAGCCTGGAGGCAGTCACAGCCCCTACGAACTCTCCACTCTGGGCTGCAGTTTTTTGGCTTGGTTTAAATTCTGCGGGGTTTTGTTTACAGTTCAGTAGAAAACCTACTAGAGGACAAAACAGAGAACAGACAGACTATCATCTAAAAGCTTCAGCAGCCCCAGTCAGAGTGTCTGTACCGCGGCCATCACCAGGCATGTGTGCGCCACAGGCCCTGATGGGCAGCGCCGGGACCCCACGGCGTGCTGTGTGCTGGGGGTACCTGCACAGGCACCTGACAGACAAAGCAACTCCAAAACGCACAAAGCCATTCTAATATTACCAATGTAAAAGAGTTTTCCTGGGACGTGTCAAGTTTCTCCTTTTCCTTCAGCTATGTTTAATTTTTCACAACCCTGTTGTGAACAGCCGTTACCCCGGAGGCCAAGTTCCTATAACGGGGCAGAGTGCTGGTCGTTACCTGTCCGTGACGTTGAGAGCATCTCTGGAAGTAGATGATGACCTCGAGTGTCCAACACTTCCAGTATGGGAACGTCTTCCTTTTGCTGAGGGTGTATCCAACGGCATCTCCCCCAGACCCTGCCAAAGGTGGGACCGTTAAGTAGCAGGGCTGGTGGAGGCCCCGTAAAAGCACGTCTGAGCACGCAGGAGGCACCAAAGTGCATTTCCCCCAGCGCCTCTGCCAGGAGCGAGGGCAGGCCCGGGGCAGGAGCAGCAGTGCCTCGCCCAGCTGCCCGCACCCACCCTGCTCCCAACGCCCTCCCCGCTGCCCTGCAGGTACCTCAGCACCACTAGTGCCCCTTGACGCGTCTCAGCTGTTAAACAAGAACTTTTCCACACACCTTTTCACGCAGATTGCTAACCGATTCCTTAATGTAAGGCAAATCCTTGGTCGGCACGTATTTTTCAAGTGTTTTATCAAAATCAGGATGAGTCATCATACTGAAGAGCATCTTTCGACCGTAATACCTGCAGGGCAACAGACCACGACATACACCCATGAACACTGAGTTGTTTTAGAGTTACACTGATAACTACAGGTGTGTAATTCCAAAATATAAAGGTGCGGGAAGATCGCTATCTGTATGTGTATCCAGACACCCCTGTCATTGTCCCACAAAGAAACTATGCTCAAGAGTCACAATTTTTATTTATTTAATCAACAACCAGGAAGCTGATGAGAACAGCCTGCCACGTGAGCCAGGATGGTGCAGCCCTGTCAGTCTGACAGCGTGGATCTCCCGCCGCAGCCTGTACCCCACCTGACGGACACGGCGTGCCCTTGGAGCCCCCTTCCCCCCGCAGCAGGTAATTCCTGGCACACACAGTCTTAAGGGGCTCGGCAGTGCTAGGCTAACGGCTGGACTCGACCGTCTTAAGGGTCTTTTCCAACCCGAAGGATTCCACGATTCTCTCCTCTGCCGCCGCAGAGGAACAGAGGCCGAGCTCGGCAGAGCTCAGGGTCTGACCCGTGACCCTTACTGACCTTGTCTGCTGGGAACTGTCCTGTGCAAACCTGCCGATGGCAGGGAAAACCCGATCCGCCACAACTTTGGTGCCAGACAGAATCCGCTCCGGTCCCATCCGTTCTACAATGTCCGAGAGGTGCTGGGCTGTGCATCTCCTCACCGCGGAGTGCAGGTGGCTAAAGAGAACACAGCAGCTTAGTCACAGCCCGTGGCAGCACTGAACAGCACTAGCCCTGTGCTCTGCCAAACACAGCATACAAGGTTTCTTTTTTCATCGTTAGCCTAACCTACAACTAGTTTACTGCTGACATGCAGATACTTAATCTGTCTGTACAGAGCAGACCTTGTGGAGCCAGGACAAATAGCTTCATTTAAAAGGATAATCCGTTTGATTCAATTTTATTTCATTTGCTTAAAATTCCAAACTACAAGAACGCAAATGAAAAAAGAGAAACTACGTTCAGGGATAATCCATTTGATCAAATTTAATTTCATTCACTTAAAATTCCAAACGACAAGAACGCAAATGAAAAAAGGAAAAACTGTGTTCTTTTTGTTTCAAGGCAGTTTCAACCTCTAACTACACCTTTTTGGATTAATAAAATTAGTCATTTTCTTCTTTTTAGAATTTAATTTCTAGCTTTCCTTAACATAACTGTGCAATATTTTAGAAAGCACACTACTACATGTTCTTTCCATCACCCTTATGAAAAACAAGTCCTTATACTCAGAAACACACCCTATGTATTTTATACCCATTTAAAATGAAATAAAGCAGTATTAACTTCTAAAAATCTTGCAGAAGTCTATCTTCTACAAAATGGGGGCCGTTAAACACCTATGCTGACGGAAATGAGAGAAAGGCTGGAATCACTTTTCAAACCCGTGCAGCAAACTAACCTTTTCTATACATTCTGCTGTACCCTTTGATCCCGTATGACTTCAGAGTACACAGTGCTGCAAATTCAAACTTTCCCAATCTTATCTTTGGATTAAAAATCCTCCTTTGAGGAGAGTTTCACTGCATAGTAAACTAGATATCTGTGTGGCTCATCGTGCATAGGGAAATACAGGTTTAAAGGAGGGAGCTAAGGAAAAGAATTGACCATGAGTGGCTCCTAGGGTTTGCAGTCTGACATCAACATCCAGCGTTCTTCCTGACTGACTGGGTCCCCATTTCACCCAGATTTTAGTTCTCCCTGGTTCCACAGATTGCCACAGCCTCTCTGGATGTAAAGCTACCGCTAGACCGGGCTGCAGGAAGCAGCTTCAGTTTGCACAAAGACAATTGAGCGGGTCGTTCAAACTGCAAAACCTGGCGGCTCCGAATAGAGGCCAGGCTGCAAAACCCAGCTGTAGCAAAACCCAGCTGTAGCACAGCCCTGCCCCAGCTGCTACTGAGCTACCTGCTTTAGGCCTGGCTTTGGGTCCTGCTTAGCGCCTGCAGTTCCATCTGGACAGCAGCCAGACATCTCGGGAGCCTGGGAGAACAAACTCCTGCTGCCTGTGCCCATGGAACACAAGAACTGTGAGGGCTAAAGACCTCCCCGTGTGCAGGCCCCGCTCCCCGGGAGCTGCTGCTGCTCGGGTAAGGCAGCTGGAAACATTTCTGTATGCACGACAGACCTTCAAATAAACCCAGTCCACACAGGTCAGAAACATGATTCCAGAACTCCTGAAACACCATCACTTTCAGATCTAGCCCTGGAATCATGCTCTTGGATCAAGCTCCTGTCCACAGAGGTGAGCTCAGAGCAACAGTCCAGCAGCTTTAGAGCAGCATGTCAGAAAAGCAAACAAAAATGGTTTTCATTACTCTTGTTGGTAAAGTCAAAACCAGCTTTGTGGCTGATGAAGAATCAGTGTATATATCTACTCAGGGCTGCAAGCATTAATACTAATGATCACAGTAGGCTTGAAAAGTGTTGAGCAGAGAACAGGTAAATTTTAAAAGGTCTTAAGAATTGTGGGCAAAACCGTAACTATTAACCTGAGTAAGCTGTGGTGAACAGAAGCAGCTCAATCTATATGCCAAATTTAGAAAAGACAGCCTTTGTGTAATTACACAGTTGTGCCAAACAGAACCTTTCCACTTCATCCTGAAGACACGTGTCATTTTTCTCCCAGATTTCCAGTTTGAAAGATAATTCTTGTGTTCCTTGTTCCAGCCTCTGCAGATGAGTGTGTGTGCTGCAGGGGCTTTGCTGCTAGGAAAGCCAGAGCCTCCTGAAGCCAACACTAGAAAAGCTGTAACTCCCAGTGCTACTTAGGCCATCCCCTGATGTGTTTGCATTAAAAACACACTGTACTCCATCATTTAGACACTGCTTTGGCTGAAGTCTTCTCAGCCGTGAAGAAACTAATCCCTGCCTCAAATGCTGCATTCAGACTCACAGCTCGGATAAATCTGGTGCCTCAGATGTCTGAAAATGTAGCCAAGTTCACAAAGTGGAGGGGCCAGATCGTTATAGGTCTAGAAAACTCAGGGATAGGTCAGTGTGTTTGAATCAGCCACTGAAAATGGGGAGATCAGATGCAGCCAATTATGATCAGGAGTATTGCTTGGCCAAGGATTTCTGAAGAAAAGATGGGAGTACACAGAGACCACCTTACATGGCTTTTGAATTAAAGCAACCCCTGCTGCTCTTCGACTCACTAAAACAGCTACGTGTGGGATGGCTCATAAATAATTCAAATCCTAAGGCTGGTATTTGCCTTTCAGTTTAAAGTTCAGGTAATTGCAGTAGGAGTCTCACTGGCTTTCAGGAGACAGAATCAATATATTCCACAACAACCAGCTTCCCAGGAAACAAAACATTTTGAATCAAGACTTAACTCATGGTTTGTAGCTGTGCAGAAAGTCTAAGGATCAATTTATAATGTAGAGTCTGAAATATTTAATGGAAGGGAGAGGCTATGAGAAATGAAGCCTACTGAATGTTATCTAAGTGATGACAGATAGAGATGAAGTAAAAGTAGGTACCTATCTGACTACTGGAATGCCTGATGGCTTGATTAAATGTTGCTGTTACAGTGAACGAGGGTATAAAAGGAAAAGAACAACATACTCAGCAGGAGAAGTGACAGAAAGGAATGTAACTTCTACTACAGACTGAGGTGAGCTAGAGCTCAGGATCAGAAATGGAGCTTGTCACGTTTGAGGTACTCAAGAAAATAATGGCCACCACCACTGTAAAGGAAATTAAAAAGCAGGCAAAAAGACTATTAACCAGCTCAGTCTAGAGGAGAACAGGAAATCAGATGAGAGACTTGCAGCTAGAGAACTGTAAGTTATCAATCATCTTTCTAAGTAAAAGGTAGTGCTGAAAACCGAAGACGACAGGCATTTGATTGCAGAGCAAATGAAAAACAAGGCTGCTATGTGAGCTCTCCCAGGCAAAGCAAAACAGCAGGTTCCTAAGAATACTGTATCAACAGTGAATAAAACTACTGAAGTGTTGCAAAATGACCAGAAAATATACCAAGGTGTAAAATCAACAGTCAGCTCTTCACATAAGGTAAAGAAAGCAGCAGAGGGGGCTACATTATGCCAACAACAAGCGTTGCCCTGGGTAGAAGTTTTGCAGAGCTGACTTACTGTATTTTCATATTTCTGCCTATTGTATTTTGATTTTTTTGTTAAAAAGACTATATTTAATCTATTCACAAGTTATTTCTTTATAAAGTCTTTATAAGATTTACCTTTGCCCTCCATTTATAAGAGAACAAAGTGCACGTGCTGGAGTCACATTATTAACCATAGCCTTCAGTGCTTTGTCTACCTCTTCCCTTATAAAAGTGTTGGATTCACCAGCTTTGTGCAAAAGGACTTTTACTGTATTATCTAGTTCTTGATCCATGCTCTTTTTCAGGTAGGTGAACAAATCCCCTAAACAGACCACAGCAGCTCGAGAAACACCTGAGCGTAAATTCTTGACCTGCACACAGGAAAAACCCAAACAAACAATGAATAATGTTTACAAAATATACTTTAAAATAAGTAAAGCTTAATGTTTCCCTTTGTAATTTTTAAGTAACATTAAAAGCAACTGAGAAATACATTTCTAACTTGATTCACAGTGTGTGAGAATTAAAATACATACACATGAAAATCATTACACGGTTACAATCTAAATTTTTTCAGTCTCTTGGCAAATCAGATCAAGTGTTGGTATCTGAAGTACGAGCTGCTTTGCTGAACGACAAACTCATCCCTTTGAGACTGTCCAACCGAGGAAAACTAACCACAGATGAACATACCGTTTAATTTCAGTGTTTGAGAGCTATAAAATATGTATACACACAACTAGTCAGTGAAAGACTCTGATAGTAAAATTTAACCTCTTGAGCCACAGCCAAACTCGTTTCATGTAGCCTTGCAGTCAGAACAGGCGCGTGGTAGGCAGACAAGCATCTAACAAAGTTCAGACCTTCAATTTTCTTCTCCCTATGTTAAAAAAAAAAAAAAAATCAAAATGTTTGCGAACGTTCATAAGAAAGTTAAACCACAGAATTCTGAGAAACCACACAAGCAAATAGATTAGATTGTAACACAGAGCACTGAGATACAGTGTAGGAAATTCCTTCGAAGCCAGGCCTCCTTTTCAGGCGGAGGCAGGACTCTTTTAGCTCCCCGGTCCCCAGCTCTCTCCTACGGTTCTGGGCCGAGCTCCCGGCAGTGCCAGGCAGAGGGGACGTTCCTCCGCCGCCGCGGAAGCAGCAGCACTGTCACCCCGTTTGGCAGCCGGGGCATGGGGAGCCCTGTGCTCCACGGTGAGGGAGAAGAGGCAGCAGCAGGGGCCCTCCCCAGACCAGCGCTTGAACCCAGACACCTCCGCACCCTCTGGGCTCTGCTGCTGAGCCTCCGGATATGACACTGGGGCCACAACAACCCCCAGCAGCGCTACAGGCCTGGGCAGGGTGGCTGGAAGAGAGGGACCTGGGGGTGATTGCCAGCCGCTGAGCAGGAGCCAGAGTGTGCCCAGGGGCCAAGGAGGGCAAATGGCATCCTGGCTTGTGTCAGCAATAGCGTGGCCAGCAGGGACAGGGGAGGGATCTGAGCCCTGGGCTCGGCACTGGGGAGGCCGCCCCTC